AATAATAATAATAATAATAATAATAATAATAATAATAATAATAATAATAATAATAATAATAATAATAATAATAATAATAATAATAATAATAATAATAATAATAATTATAATAATAATAATAATAGTCCCACAAACAATCTACTGTGGTTTTGCTTAGGCGTCGCGCACTCTATAGCACATGATACTGTACTCCTATCTTGTGCAATTTGATTTCCCCCGCCTCCGTACGCGTAGGTCCACCAACAATGCGTAACCTCACTTCGCTTCAGCGCATGTCTAGGACGCCGCACCCACTGCACAATGTGACCAAGGGTGGAAAACACCCAATACTAGACATCACCCAGCTATTCCCGTTGTGGTGTGCCGATTTTTGATGTTTGCGCCACTGCTTCGTTCTTTCCTTGCATACCAAAATAAGCGCTATAGCTGCCGCTCCTTCCATCCAAGGCAGCCATACCACCATGTGTTCTGCGACTGCAAAACTGGGCTTGTGGTTTAGTGGTATAATACTCCCTTAGCATGGGAGTGGTCCGGGGTTCGATTCCCCGCGAGTCCATTCATTTTTTGCTCTGTGCTTCTTATATATTTTGTTGCATTGTACTGCTTTTTTTCGCTACCGTTCGGGATCGGGTCACGTGCGCGCTTACACACGCGAGCGGACCGCGCGGTGGGCGGGCGGATGGACCAACGCCACGTGCTAGTACTACTTGGGCAACCAGTTATAGGAAACCTCTGCTCCGGACCAACAGCGATGAGTGGCTCTTCATGGCACATCTTTCTTACAACTTGATTCTTGTACGTAATAGCTAATACGAGAGAGAGACGATGCAAATAATAAATAGTACTTATCTAAGTGGGTCATGTATGTAAAGAGGGAAAAACAAAGCAGCACGAACAATCGCCAATGTCATGTTTGCATTGGGACCTGATTGGAAGATGAGTTTGCGGAGCGAATTAAAATGCCATAAGGAGAAGGTATAACAAAAACGACGCATGGCCTCCTCATTACGCTTCAACCACTACTCAACAGCCACCTTGTCCCATTTCAAGCCATCATCCAGGCTCCCCATGGTAACGCCCCATCTATCCTTGAACCAGTTCTCCCTCGGTCTCCATGGTCCCGATTCCGTGCACCGAGGCAGTTTGCCCAGGGCCATGCGGACATAAGTGCTGTTGAGCGGAGAAGCCGCGATGGTCTTGGTCTTCTCGGCGTCGCTAATGACGGGCACCACGCTGGTATATCCGTGTTGCTGCTGGTGCTTGATGAGGCGGACAAAGAGGCGAGACGAGACGTCTGAGCCCAGCGTCCACGAGGCATTCCAGTACCCGAGGATGTTGCCGAGATTGGGGAACGAAGTAAACATGCAGCCGCGCCACATGTACTGCGAAGGGAGGTCTATCTGTTTTCCGTCAATGGTGGTTTCCATGCCGCCGAGGAAGCGCATGTTGAGGCCGGTGGCGGTGATGATGATGTCTGCGTCGAGTTTTTGGCCGCCGTTGAGCTCGATGCCGTCGGCAACAACGCTCTTGATGGTGTCGGTGACAATGTGTGCTTTGCCTGAGCTAAAGGCCTTGAAGTAGTCGCCGTCGGGACATAGGCACATGCGCTGTTGCCAGGGGTTGTAGCCGGGCTTAAAGTGCGGGTCCATGGGAAAGTCGGGTGGGAGATCCTGGGCAGCTTTTTTGATGAGCAACGAAGACGCAAACGAGGGAAACCACATGCAGATTGCGTAGAGAATAAAGGGCGTGAGGGTGAAGATGAAGCCTGGAGAGACGAGTTAGTTGCTGCAGCACACAAAGAGGTAGGTGACGCACGCTTGTATTGCAGAGTAAACCACTCTGGAACCCACTTCTCGAACCATGCTTCGTCGTTTTGCGGGACGCTCAAGATGTAGCTTGGGCTCCTCTGTAGCTGTGTTACGCTTGCGGCGCCGCCGTCGACCAGCGCAGGTAACAGGGTAATGGTTGTTGCGCCTGAACCCACAATGACCATCTTTTTGCCCTTGTAGTCAAGGTCGTTGGGCCAGAACTGGGGGTGTACGACCTTTCCTTGGAAGCTGTCGATGCCCGGAATGTTTGCATTCAGGGGCTCTTGGTAGTTGTAGTATCCGGTGCCGGTAATCAGCCACTTGGTCCAGAGGACGACTGTCCGCGGCTCTCTACCGACATGGCTGGCAATTTGTACATGCAGTCTCCAGCGCTGCTCTTCGCTCCTCCAGTCGGCCGCCAGAACACGGTGGTGGTACCGGATCTTCTTGTCAATGCCAAACGTTTCGGCCGTCTCCTGCAGATAGCTCCGGATTTTGTCTCCCCTCGCAATGGGGTTGGGCGAGCGCCATGGATAGAATGGGAAGCCGAACGTGTGCAGATCCGTGTCGGAGCGCACGCCGGGGTAGTTGAACTGCGACCACGTGCCGCCGAGCTCGTGGCGGGCTTCGAGAATGGCGTATTTGGTGTCTGGCAGCGACTCTTGCAGGCGGTAGGCGGCGTTGATGCCGCTGATGCCGCTGCCGATGATGAGGACGTCAAAGTACGAGTCGATCATGGCGGGCTGGCGGGCGGGCGAGACTGTGGGCGTGGCGTGAGATCGAGTGCGGGTGTTTAGTAGATGGGGGCACGATGCAGTCTGGACAGCGTGCAGCGATGGATGCAGAGGCAAAGGAAGTATCCCAAGGGGACCCGAAGCCGTTCGCCAGTCGAGACTTTGTACCTTTGGTCAGGGCCTCCGCTTCACTCCCCCACATGCCATGGTGCGACGCCACGCCTCGCCCAGGTCGCAAGCACTACTTCATCGGCAACCGCTTGTCCGGCATCAGGGCCGCGGCGGTTGCTTCGCAGTGGCTTGCGATTCGAGCTGCCCGTCTTTGCGCGCTTTCTGGTGGCGGAGCGGTCAGGACGTACGTCACTTCATTGGGTTTGTTGTGTGCGCCGAGGCCCCTTGGTGGTCGCTATCCCGGCCGCACGCAAGCCTTACTGCAAAAAGAATCGGATTGCTTGGCAATCTGACCGGTTCCGACTGGGAGCCTCCGACGAGAAGGAAGCCTCCGACCAAGCGGCATCGCGACGGAGAATGTGGATGCGCCCGAGGACGACGACGACGGCGTGGCCGTGGACATGGACAGGTGCGCGTGCACTGCTCGAGACGGCCGTCGCAACGCCGCGCCATGTCATGATGCACATGAGGCGCATCGCCAGCTCGCCACCCTCTGCATTCCCCCGCTGCCGCCATGCTATACCACCACCCAGGCCTCCCAATCACAACGCCATCGGCACACGTTAGCTCCCAACCAAGCGCTGGACATGGCATGGCCACAGCATCGGTGCGGCCTGGAGCGACAAATTACCCTGCACCACACAAGCAACCAAAACACTCTGAAACGGCTATCATGTCATTCGTGGGTATAGTGCACACTGTGCCTCTAATCTAAGCGACCCGGCGCTCAACATACAATGCTCTCTACAGCGTCTGTTTTCCTCTCGTCTCAATCGGCAGCACCAGCATGCTGAAAAATGCCGCAATGAACAGCCCGCCGCTTGCGTAGATGGGCGCCTTGGGATTGCTGTCCCCCGCGTAGATGGCCACAATAGGAGCGCACAGTCCAGCAACACGGTTCAAGAAACTGCTGATACCAGTGCCCGTACCGCGGATCGGCCCAGGAAACACCTCGGGCGTGTACGCGTACAGCACGCCGTACATGATGTTCTGGAAGAAGGCCTCCAGGCAAGTAAAGGCCAGCTGAAAGTCCGAGTCCTTGGAGATGGTGAATAGAAAGACAAAGACGCCCGTAATGACCGTGGCAATGGCCATTGTGCCCTTGCGGCCGAGGAACTTGAGCTCGACGGCGTAGCATGCGAAAAAGGATCCGGGGACGCCGACAATGGCAGTGATGGCGTAGTTGCGGTACACGGTGCTGACGTCGTTGGTCACTTCGCCACCAGAGCTGGCCAGGTATTGCGGCAGGAAAGCGTTGAAGAGCGGGTATGCCATGCCGATGGTGGCCCACTGGAACCACAGGAGAAGCGTCGTCATGGCAAGCTTCCTGTCCTGGAACAAGATCCGGAAGCGGGCAAACGAAAAGCGGCTGATGGAACGCTTGATAATCTCAAAGGCGCCGAGCTTGACATCCTCGCCAGTCACTTCCTGGTCGCCGCCAATGTAGTTGAGAATGTCCTCGGTGAGCCACGTCGTTGTCTTGTTGCAGTACGCAATTCCGTACACGGTCGCTACGGCCTCAGCCTGGCGACCGCGCGACAGCAGAAACTTGGGCGACTCGTAGAGATGGAAGAAGAAAAAGCGGGAGATGAACATGACAAAGGTGATGGCTCCAAGCGTGAGGATGAGGTATCTCCAGCCCCAGTTGTCAGCCATGCTGCATTGTCCAACAGGGGTGCTGCCTGGGCATGAGAAGTTGGGAATGAAGGCCCACGCCACTATGCTCGTCAGTGCCCCGAAGCTACAAAGGTTTCTATTCGACTTACGCAGCGAAGCAATCAGGTTACCAATGGGCCAGAAGACGGACAGCAGCGTCAACAGGTTGCCCGAAGTTTGCGGGAGGAACTCGAGAAACAGTGCGCCGTCGACAGGGAGATTACCACCAACACCAAGGCCAATGCAAGCGTAGAGCGCGCATGTACCAATCCAGTTGGGGCCGCCGCCCGAAGCAAGACCAAAGGCTCCAGCGAGGAACAGAGTAAAGTTGAAGGCGACACGGCGGCCGATAATGTCTGACGCGGTGCCCCAGAAAGATGCACCAATGCAGAGACCAAGGAACAGGGCGAGCGTCGTGTATCGGACTTCAGTGTCAGTGACGCCAAACTCGGCAGACAGTTGCGGCAGCGTGAGTGCCACACCCTTCAACATGGTAAGCCCAAGCGCTGGAGACAGCACAAAGCCCATGGATTACATACCTGCAACCACAAATTGTCTGCCATCCATCCGCAGCCAGCGAGGATGAAGAGCTTCCACTGGTAGCGACCCATGCCCATGTCACCCAGCGCCTTGTTGATGACTTTGGACTTACCTATACGGAGTTTAGTACGTCGTCTTACTCATGCTCACGGCCGCAAGGGAAGGAAAGGAAGGGAAAGGAAAGGGAATGGGCAGCTCAACGCCACGTGACGTACGGTCATACGGAGTATCGGTGCCAGAGGCAGCCACGTCGGCCTCGATTTCTGCTTTGAGTGCTGCGAGGGTCATTCCATGGTTAACAACACCACTCGATGCATCACTTGGGGGGCGGACAGATGTGTTGTCGTCTTTGGCGTCCTTTTCGGTGGGCGCAATGGGGCTGCTTTGGCCTTCGGGCGCAGAGGGGCCGCGAGGGTCTGATTCGTCAAGAGGCACGTAGACACCGGGGAACGCGTCGACCGAGTGCGTTTTGAAGGGGTTCATGAAGATGAGTCGGGGCATGGTGGCGTAGTGAGGGTGCTGCTGGGCGATATCAAGGGCGGGCGGACGGCTAAGTTGCTTGGGATGGGCGCAATGGTGCTGAGGGAGCCAGAGGTCGATTCGAGAGGGCCGCTGGGATTGGGCGTTGGCGTCTTGTGTCGATCCGTCACGGCGTCTTCACCCAAGCACAGGATGCTAGAGGCTTGGGAGGCTTGGGAGGCTTGGAAATGCTTGTGTATGTATTGATGTGGCCAGCTTCCGCAACAGCGACTGGGGAGCAAGTAGCGAACAAGGCCCTCTCCAGCGGCTCGACGAGGCGCCCTCCTATATATGCACCATGTACATCTCGCGGCGAGGGCCCTGGTGCCACCCAAGGTCAGAAATCTCTTTGCAACCGACACTGCGTGTGGGTGTGGAGTCGATTCGGTCCAATGCGCCAAGGAACCGGCCTCGCAAGGCGCGCAGTGACGTCGTGCTTGGTGGGACCGCCGCCCTCAGCTTCCACTGCCTTTGACTGCAAAGATCAGCATCACCCGCCGCCATGCTTCGTTGCGCCAGCCTGGCCGCGCATTTGGCCGGCGAACCTCATGGCCTCGCACTCGCATTCGCCTTTTCCACCCGGCCGCCGTGCCTCCCATGCGCAATGACAGCACCCTGACACGCCGACTATGGTTCGTCGACGAGAGCGAACATGGGCCCGACGAAAGCTCGATACGAAAAAAACGGTCCTGCACAAGCCCACGGCACATGGCTAGTCGTCTAGTTTTTTCTTTCTTTCTTCTTTCTTCGCCCCCTCGTTTGCCCTACCACTACCACTACCACTACCACTACACCTACTGCTACCACCACGGCGACATGGGCCCGTGGCGGCTCCAGAAAAATTTGCCGCGTGCCGAAACAGGACTAAGCAGCAAGTCGTTACGTTTACGTTTCTCAGGCTTTTCCCTGGCTAACTGGGCAAAGGGACCGTTCGTCTCCACTTGGACGCGCCGTCACGCGAATGTGAATGCTAACAGGCACGCGGTGCGCCGCAACTAAGCGCGGGGTCGCTGTGCTCCTCGTCCTATGTCTGCATAGGGCATGCCATTCCTGGGGTCCTCGACCCTGGCACTGGAGCCCCGGACAGGGCCGACGTCCGATTTTTGTTCAAAGATCGACACAAAAGACTGCCGGCCGCCTGCTCAGGCCAGCGAAAGCAGCCGAGAGAATGCGCGGCCGTTGGAGCCCGCTGCCGTCCTCCATGGCGGAAAAACAGACCCTTTTGTTGACTCCGCAGCACTGGCCTTCTCTGTTCGCGATGGGAGCCGAGCCCGTATAACGATAGGTGTAGCAAAGTGGACCCAACCTCAGAAGCTCTCTCGATCGGAGGTCATATCATGCGACTTTTCTTCCAGCCCGGGCAACCCCGATCAGTGCGTCTTAGGTCGATGCCGACTAGGTCCTTGCGTCGAGCCTGTCTTTTTCTAGACATTGCGCGACTTTTGATGGCCTGCAGCCTGCAGGGAGGTGAAAAATTGGTGTAGGGGTTGGAGGATGAGGTATCGTGGTCAATGGCAGTGACATGTTCCATGAGGAGGTGTTACTGGACGCGGAAAATCTGTGCGACCGAGCGTTGCCGAATACTACGCCAAACACATGTTGGAAGGGCCTGATATCCGTCATTGCTAGGCTTCCCAGTCTAGCCAGGAATGTGCAAAATCATGTAAAATAATGTGAGTGAGGGTGGACACGTTAGTCTGCCTTGGCCCACCGACGGCATGACGCAGTGGAGCGTTTTCCACCACGACATCCCTGTTTTCCAATAGTCATCAACATCAACACCGTTTCTCCCAGTCTGGTGATGCTTGCCGGCGGCATGGTTCTCGAGAAAGCACGAACCCTACAGTTCAGTCCATGGCAGTCGCCATCACCAACTTGTCGTTGACCACAGACACTTTTAGCCGCTTCGAACAATGACGCCCATTGCTGGTTCTATCATCTTTCAGCACTATGCTATTGAGATACTCATTGTCCACAGACTAAACCGCGTCAATCGCCATGACATCATCACCTCCCAGCGCATCATGCGAAACTCCCAGCACTGACAATCATTTCACTCTGCTCCATCCTAGCATTGCAGAGGCCCTGTTCACCTTCGAGGAACGCGTTGCCGATTTCTCGGCTGCATTCGATCTTCTCTCTCAGCAACACAACATTCTCGCAGCCAAGTACGATGAACTCCTTGGCACTACGCTCAAGCTACGTACCCAACTGGCCATACAAGTTGTGGCGCTAGTCAAATGCCAAGGACAAGAATATACGTATACGCAGCGAGGCGAAGCGAAGACATCCCATGGTGGCAATGTCAGCAGCGCCGACGACGAGGATGAGGGGTCTAAGACAAAGAAGTTTTCATCCAACATGCGAGAGAACAATTGCACCGCGACGGCCTGCAATACCAAGTCCGACGCCAGCCCTCCAACCCATCAGACACCTGATCTTTTATCCCCGCTGCTTTCCAAAGATACAAAGAAGACCCCTCGTCTGATACTCCGGCTTCCCTCCAGGCCAGATGGGGAAAAGGCTGCGCCGACTATGGCGAATCAAGGCCAAAGCAGCAAAGGTCGCCGCGCAAAACGCAACGAGTCGTCTTTCCTTCATGCTACCACTATGAAGAGAAGGACGAAAAGAGTAAATGTGTGAGTATCAGTATGGATTGAGGTACGCCTCACTCACCATCCATCCATTTCTTGGTCAGAATACAAGAAAGGTTCCAAGACTACCTTTTATCTCTCGGCTTCGCCCACTCACAGAAACAGTGTCAACTGCGTGTAACTACGTAACAATTCATCATTCTGTACATTATCATCACCACACCTCTGCAACCGTCTTATGATATTTGTCTCGTAGCCTGTCTTGGCACACTCCGAAATGCGGCCTGTTTTCCAGAGAGTCCCGATCTATATCGGGATATGCGAGATTTCTGCGGGGCCATGACTGGCTCGTTTCATTACTTTCCTTTGTATATTCATTTGTTGTATTCACAGCTGAGACTAGGTGCTTTCCCGGGAACGAAGCTCTTTTTCCTCTTGTGTCTTTCACGTTTGTAAAAGTGGGAATGGTGAGGTTTCAGTAGGTGCTGGTAGTCAGGTTGCACACTGGAAGCGCATCCGTTTTGGATTTGTGTGTGGGCCTTCAGATGGAAATCGTTAGACCGGGTTGTCGTACGCTCGGCAGCATCAAAAGTTCAATCGATGAGTTCTTCGCTGATGCAGACAGAATGAAACCCCTCTTTCCCGCATGCGCTTTTACCCACCTGCCCGGCTGCTTATCTTGTGCACAAACGAGTCCAACGCCATACAAACCCAGACACGAAAATATGAGGCCACTGCATTGCTACAACCCTGACGAGGCTTGGGCTGCCACATCAGTACCAAGAAGTCCCTGCTGCGGAAAGGCATCAAGATTGAGATTCTGCCAATCCCAAATCTGCTCCATGCCGCCCATATCCACGGCATCAGGGATGGAGTGGGTGACAGTGCCAAACGGGTTCTGAGCAAGGAACTGGTCAATTTCGAAGGCGAGGTCGTCTGAAATGGGAATGGTAGCAAGAGCGTCTGCGGTGCAAGATGGGTCTTCAGCAGCGGGTCCGAGATAAGGAGCTGATGCTGTGTCGTGCAGAGGTGCAATGGCGACTGGCGCGGTCTGCAGATTCGCGGGCTTAGAATACGGCTCAGACTGGTCGTGTCTTTGGCGTTTGCTGACCGGAGCGTGGCGCGATAGCGTAGGCGTAGCTTGCACGAGTTTGGACAGAAAGATGTACGATGTTGCGCCCAGCTTGCTGGTCAAGCTCAGCTGATGCAGCATATTTAGCGAGGTATCGATTATGTTTACGATTTTCTCGCGATGCGGCAACATGTGCTCGCGGTCATGAATCATGGCGGAGCAGAGGACTGTCGATGTGTCGAAGATGCAGAAGACGACCATGTGGAATTTGGCGTTGATGGGAAACTCGTGCTCGAAGAGCTTGTGTGCGTCCTTGAGCAGCCGCAGCGCAATTACCACGCCTTTCTTCCGGAATTCGTCATCCCGGTCTGTCAGCTTGTCACTGCGCTCGCGCGTGAGATAGATCTTGAAGAAGTCGAGCATCGTCACAAAGATGACGCAGTGGAGCTGGTGACGCTGAAATACAAAGTACGGGTGTGCCTGGTCGAGCGACGTATCTGGGTTCTTGATGCGGAAAATGGCAGGCAGTTCCTCGATGAACTTTTCGCACTCGCGCTCAACTTGTAGGACTTTTTCCGCCGAGAGGTCTGATGTCGAGGTCACGTCGCCCATGACGGTCGCGACTCTTCGGCCCAGATTGGCTTGGAGAGCCATGTGCGCAAAGGGCGAGAGGAGGTTGGGCTCCTTGACTGACTGGTCAAGTCGTAGATTGGGGAACTTGAATGTAAAGTTCTTTTGGTCAATGAGGTTTGGCCGGCCGAGCCACGCTGACATTTGCCTGTCAGGCGTTTCAGCAACCAGTCCACGCCGTGCACATGTCTTCACTTACCAGTCCCAGATATAGAGCAACGTCCAGATGCGCCTTCTGATTTCAACATCAAACTCACACAGCTGGTCACCGCGCTCGTCTTTATCAATGCCCAGCTCCTGCGCCTCGCGGATCACGCGTGAGAGGGTATGCCATGACTCGACGATCTTGGATTCCGACTTGAGCCAGGCACCTTTCATGAACTGTTCCTGCACGCGCTCAATGCACGTCTTTGACGCTGCAAAACTCCGGCTGAGCTCGTCTGCTGCCTCTGAAAAGCGTTCCGTCAGCGTCTGCGAGGTGCATGCCAGCTCAAACTCGATCATCTTGCGTAGCTCCGGCGTGAGGTACTGCACAGAGTATGCGCATATCCTCAAGAGCAGGCAGGTAAACTCGGGCGAAAGCTTTTTGCCCAGACTCCGGTCCGTCCACCACTGAACGTAGCGTTCTGCCAGTGTTGGCCCGTAGATGGCGCTGTAGCGGTAGTTGACCACGTTCAAGAAGTGGTTGACAAAGGCGTCTGCGCTCCGTCAGCAACGCCGCCGTGGTGGGATTCGCACATACCCGTGATGGACCTTGGTGGCATGGCCTGCAGTACTTTTTGGACAGCATCGACAGCCGTGTCTTCTGTCGGCGAGTCTTTAAGCTGACCACACTATCCACATCATCAGCATGGTTTGCGAATATAGTGGGAGCAACTCACAGCATCCTCACTGTATCCGACCTTGTAGTGGACATGGCCGGGCATGTACCCCCATGCCCTGAGTCCATATTCAAGCACCTCTAGCTCGCCGTTGGACTTGACAAACTGCGGCTCTGCCGCTTCTGCGGGAGGACTTCTCTTGACGCCCTGCGTGAGGATGGATGCGGTCTCCCTGTGTAGTTCGCTGTTAGCTCTCGATTCGGCTTGGCTGCGGGCCCCCAAAAGATGGGAATAGAATCAATGCCATACGCTGCCGAGTGTGGTGGGGGCGGCGCCTCGTGTAGGGGTCGTTTGACGGCGAATTGGCACAGATGGGGCACCTTTCGCGCCTGGCAATGGTTACAGGGCCATTCCCGCGAGCACTAAGCCTTACCATTAGCTCACCAAGGAAAGACGCAGGGTTATTTTGGGGTAATGGCACGGCAAGGTAGGTGGAGCGACGAGACCTTTTGCTTACGCCGCTGACACTCTGTGCATGACGTCGTCGCCCGGTTTTCCTTTGGCGGCTGCATCCTCAAGACCAGTGGTTCGGAAACAAAAAGAGAAGGGAAGAAGGTAAAAGGGAGTCGTCGACTCGACACATACGCTGGCCCTGAGGAGCCTTTGGAGTAGCACACGACTTGCGGAAGTTTTATTGATTACAAGACAAGGTCGGGTTCTCAAGGCGCCCTGGCTTGACTCGATCGCTCCAACTGGGTGAAGCTAGCACTACCCGGCGCCCGCCTGCGCTCCACCACGGCGCCCCGTCGTCGCTCGAGGAAAAGCTTGCGCGACCTCGTTCCTTGGTATTACCGGCCCGTCACGTTGCGTGGCGAATGCAGCTATGTACTTGGGTACTTATAATTCGCCGGGCGTCTTCCTACCACAACCAACCACCCGCACTGCTGCGAACTAAACTGCAGCGAACGTGTTGCAGCCGAGGCCTTCTGGAAGGCATTCCGACGGCCTAGCATAAATGCGTGCAATTAGTGTGACGCCTCTTCCTGTCCTCCCCCCTGCACTTACACGACAACATGCAACTGGATAATCCGCCGTGGCCTATCATGGCATTCGCCTTATATGCTCCTTCGCCCAGTTGCCAAAATGCCCTAATAAGATTGTCGTAATATTCCCGCCGCTAAGGTATCTGTATACTTCCACTTATGCCCTCTAGATCCCACCTACACTGAATACAACACTAGTAAGTAGGGAGAATATACCTAGACTAGCAAATGGGTAGGGGTAGAGTAGGGGTAGAGTTAGCTTATATAGTACCTAACTCTACTTTTACTTTTACTTACGCTAAAGTTCTTTGTTACAAGTTGTAAAGAGTAATATGCTATAATTCTTGCAGTTGATTGCAAAAGAGGAAGAGTGTTAACGTATTCCATCACCGAGCGGGCCACATCACCGAGTGTCCCACTTTTTCTTGGCATCACGAACTTCACGTACGAAAGATAATGCCCCAACAACAGAACGCAATATTAACTTAGCAAATAAGTAGGCTTACTCAGCTATTTAGGCCTATTATATAAGCTAGTTTAAGAGTATTCAACGCGCTATAGCAGCCTACAACGTCTATTATTAGCAGATCTTTTAGCGGCTTTAAGGAATTACCTTTAACCTACAATATAGCTAAATTGCTAGAAGCTAACTAAGTCTAAAGAGCAAACTATTATATAATATATTCTTAACCTAGACTTGCAAGGATTTGCCTATTGTCTATATGAAGTAGTAGATATAGCGGAGAAACTACTACGTGAACAAGATAGCGAGCCTTTAGGCAAATGCTAGGTAGAGCGGTTTATTACTTATATAGATAAGCTTAGAACAGCCTTTAGTTAAGTAAAGGATTATTAAAGAACTCAATAATAGGATATAGAGATTATTAACGCGTAGTTTAAGCTTGTACGAGAGATGGTTAAGAAGTATAAGGTTTATTTAGACAATATCTATAACTTTAATAAAAACAGCTTTTAGATAGGCGTGATTAGCTTAATAAAGGTAGTTATAGGCGCAGAGCGTCGTACGAGGCCTACTCTCACGTAGCTAGGCAATCGCGAGTAGGTTATAGTCATCTAGAGCATCTGCGCTATAGGATACGCTACCCTGCTATTTATTATCTACAAAGGACGCGTCTACATCTCTATATAGTATAAAGAAATGGATATACTATATAACTGGAAGCTTTTAGTATTAAAGAATAGCTAGACAAATAATAAGCTTAGTCTTGTGTAGTTAAAGCACTTTAACAAGCATATAAAGACGCGTTAGGTAGGGTTATATAAGCTACTTATCCTTAAAAGCTATAAGAGCTACCTTAACTAAGAATTATAGAATTACTACCTTATACAAAAGATTCTTACCCTCTATATACTTACTTATTTATTATATATACTTTAGCTACTTAATATTATCTACTTTTTACCTCTTAAGTAGAAGTATTTATAATGTATATAAGACTTAGCACGCTACTATATCTAGTATATTAATAGAGAGCGCTTCATTTTAGCCTTTTAAAATGCGTTTTTAACGTGTTTACGTCTAATGACTATAAGAAGGCCTTTAAGGTAGTAGAGCTAGTCTTTATTAACGCATAGAAAGTTATTAATTGCTTCAATCTACGCCTTTATACTCTACTATAAGAAGCTTAGCTAGAAATACTCTAGATATGAAGAATACTAAGTAATTTATATTTATTTAGGTTATAATTAAAGCTTATAAAAGAGTCTTTTATATAACTACTAACTACTATATAAGAAGGCTTTTTAAAGCTTATTAAAGGGGCTAAGGAGATGCTATATAAGAATATGCTTATAAAGTCCTACGTAAGAGAGCTTAAAGAGTAATTAGTAGTAGTAATAAAGTGCTAAGGGCGCAAAAGAAAGTAAATTCAGATAGGTAGAACACTAGACTTTAGTGTAGGGGCATTGTAGGTAGCTAAAAGTAGTTCTGCTAGTCGTACGACATTAAAGAAGGCACGTGGTGAGGGTAGTTAAGAAAGGGCCCTACTAGGTCAATAGCACTATAGAACCTATAAGAGGATAGGCTATAACTCTTGTACGTGCTAGAAAGATGTAGAGAGGATTCTTTTTT